GAACTAACTTAGTCTAACAATAGTTTGATCGAAAAAAATGAAATAAAAACGTGATCACTCAAACAATTAGTTGAATAGAAAAAATAGAACCAAACAAAAGAACCAAAAATGAATAAAAGTATAATTTTGAACTCGATAATGATTGAACATTGCAGAAGAAGAAGAAAAACAAAAATTGGTTGAAGAAGAATAAAGAAGATCACTAAACTAGTTAGAGAAGAAGAAAGAAAAATGAAAATTGGTTGAAGAAGAAAAATGATAATGGCTGATGGTTGGAGAAGAAAATAGAAGATACATTTGATGGCAAAGATACTAAGGATATAATTCACCTATTAAATTAAGAAATATTCAATATAATAAAACAATTCAAAAAACAAAATAACTACAAAATCTAATATGCGTGATTTAAGGGAAAAACAAATATGTCAAAAAAAAATCAGAAAAAGTCAACAAGTGTACCTAAACACAATAAAGTTAGAAAAACGACAACTAAATGACTATATATTTCAAGGCCAATAAGTATAATTTGGTATACTCCTTCACAATTCTCCATTAAATGTGCACAACCAAAAATCCTTTTTAATGACTCAAATCCATAATGATCAACTGACAAATAATAAAATAAAATTGCAGCAAATGAAAAGGACCCCGGGATGATTTGATCACTTCCCCTAAAAGCACTGATGTAGAGTGCATTAATAGTTGCCAGCAAAAAAAAATAAAATAAAAGACAAGAATATTTTCCATGAATTGTGAGGGCCATCCCATCCCAAGTGTAATTTGCTTAAAAACATATATTGATACCCACATTCATTCTTGCTCTTTCCTTTGCATTGATAATCATTCTCTCTCATATACATCACAAAACTTGTATTCACAAAATTTTGCACAGGCTTTGGCCATATAGCAATGATAGCTATCCCCTAATACAAAAGGGCAATAATATATGGGGGCAAAATGAAATAAGGCCCCTCCATACATGAGAAAGGGAACCGATCCCAAAGAACAAAAAATGGACAAAAAACCGAAAAAAAGAGGGAAGATGAGAACCCTGTACACATACCTCTACATCTGTCTCTATCTCCCCCAAGCTCCGGGCAATGGTTATGTACATATAACCAAAATTTAGCCCTGGCAAGATCCAACATCCCTTCAGTAAACTCTTTATCATAATCTGAAGTAGTTACCATCTGTGTCCGTATTGTGATGGAATGATGACCTTCATCTACAGGAACAAGGTTTCATAAGTAGCATTTCATTCAAATGAGTTATCTAAGAACATGCAACTCACAGCATCATATCGACTAATAGCTAAGACACTAGAATGTTCCGTAGGGAGAGGTCAGCGGTCCATCCACAACAAAGCATGTATGGAACTGGGAAGTACCCCAAGGGACCAATTCTTTGTGGCATAATTTGGGACGAATATGTCAAGAGTCCAAATAAGCTCTATAAATTATAAGGAGAAGTGTTCCATAATTCTTTCTCTTTGCCTTATTTCAGACTGTTGTTCCAAAAATAGCTATCCATAAAATAATTGATAAATTATCGAATTGTATGACCAAGCTCTTAATGGGAGCAACCAAATTTCGGTCTTGAGGCATGGCCCATGCAGTGAGACAAAGATTACTCGTGTACGTATCTGAAACTAAGAAAACAACATACCTGTACACTGCTTCTTTGAGGGTATGCCGATCCAAACTGGACAGGTCCAGCTGACCCAGGATTTACTCAGCCTATTAATGGTGCTTCATTCCAGTCCAGAGTACATGGGCTCAACATACAAACTGCCGCTCCCTGCTTGCAGAAGTTGTGTCTGTGGCTGATGATGGTGTGGGGGCAGCTGCTGTTGTGGTGATTGCTGTTGCTGCTGCTGCTGTGTTTGCGGTGGTGAGGGAGGAGGTAGCTGTGATGGCTGCTGCTGCCACTGTGCATCAACATCATGCCCAAGTGGGGACAAGCTGCCAGATGACTGCCTTGGGCCTGGTCCGTGACTGGCCACAGGGATAGGCTCACTCCCGGCACAATTTGTCACTGGATTTCGCATACCAGAAGCAAATAATGGTTCCGATGCTTTCCATTGAGGAGCACCAGTAGAAGAAATAACCTTCTGAGATGAGTTGCTGACAGGGTTCTGGTCTGCTTGAGCATCTCTGCTTTGCAACTTGTTTGCAGGGTCAGCATTCACTTGGCGATTTTGTTGAAGCACTCTTTGAAGATTTTGTTGAGATTGATTGACTAACTTAGAGTGATTCTGTGGCTGTGGCTGCTGATGATGGGAAGAGGTCATTGCCAATGATGGTACTACTTGATGGGAAGTGGATGATGAATGACCAGAGGCATCTGGTCGAACATGACCTTGATTGCTATTATCAGCGTTTGAAGGCATCTGCTGGAGTTGCTTGGATATCTTCTGCTGAGGCTGGGACTGATTTGAGCAATGAGGAGGCATTAATGGCTTTGATGCTTGAACAGGAGTTAGTCCTGGCCCAGAATATAAGCCTTGACCTTGCATCAAATGCATAACCTGCTCCCCTTTTTCTGTAGATTGGCTTCCAGGAGTCGGTGCAATGCCATTCAGGAGGGAGGGATCAACGGGAAGGTTCTGGTGCATCATTATGTTACCTCTTCCTACACCCTTCAGAAGTTTATTCTGCTGTTGAGACTGCGATTGAGGATGCTGCCTGCCAGCTTGTTGCAACAGTTGCAATTGCGGTGACTGACGTTGCCGTTGCTTCCCCATCTGATTGGTCAAACCACTGCCACCTGTTTGAGCACTCCGGCCAAGCCCATGTGGTGGCATCTGATGTTTTTGCTGGTTCTGTGACATTGGAGTCATTGAGGATGTTGGCGTCAAAGATGATAGTGATAATGGTGGAGAAGTAATTTGTGACTGAATTTGGGAACTATTTTGCAGAGGAGATGATATGGGCAGTTGGGCCTGTGGTGGTACATGTGGCATCAAAGCGTTGGAAACATCAAATTGTTGTTGTTGCTGCTGCTGCGGCCGTTGCAGCATGTGCTGCGTCAGGTGCCTCTCTTTTGCCAAGCGGATTGCACAGGCTTGATGCTGCATGCTGGGGGGATGATTAGGTGCTTGAGGATGATGAGAATTGCTGTGGGCATGGGTCGGTTGAGGGGACATTGGGTGTGGTTGCTGGTGATGGATTAGGTATGACGGAACAGGTGGAGGGGCTGTCTGATTAGAGAAAGAGGAACTTAACCCACCAAAAGAAGGGACTCCTTGGCTGTTTCCTTGTGAGACCTGCATCTGAAGGTCTGGCACCATCATTTGCCTTTGAGAATCCGGGCTCTGGCTTGGCTATCACAGCAAACAAACAGTGTTATATCAAACAGATTTGAGGCAGAAAAAGGTTATGTCAAACATTTCACCAGCTGATAAAGAGAAGATAGAATCTCTCAAGTCAATATTATTTTACATCAACAAAGAAACTCCACAATTACTTACCTATGTTAGTTAAAGAAATCATTATTCCACCTACAAATTCACCAAATCTACCAACAAGTTTAGGGTGAATATAGTATGTACTCAAATTCACAGAGGCTAACACATCTCATTGGGGTTATGTTATTTACAAAATAGCACTCCAAAGCCAGATGTTAAGATCTCTTCGGGCTGTCTTTGGGGTTCACTGGGCAATCTAGACTTTCCAAATTTGACATTACAGGCACATGCCACCAAATCAAGCTAGACTTAAACAACAGTTGACTTTCATTATTATTTCAACTCTTGCACAAGCATATGCTTCTGTTTGTGTTTGATCAGTAAAACTTATTGAATGCAATAAAAAAAATAGTTCATATTAACCATTTCTTTCATTAGTTCTGAGGAAATTTAGAGTCATTGCCACATAGCATCTCTATCAAACTACTCAGACGTACGAAGACAACACCACAGTACCATCACAATAACATACTTTACAGTGTTGACACAGTATATTTTCAGTTTTTAGCATTTATACAAGAGCAAATTAAAATTGCCGGGATCAAGACATTTGATTGCAGATTTTTTATTCTTATAAGTAATAAAAATACAAAAATGTCTCAGAAAGATATACAAAATAATAATTACAAGCTGGCCGAGGGGGACCTATAGAACTACAGCTGAATTCACTGACAAAGGCCAACTTCAAACAGAAATAAAAATAAGGGGAATAAAATTTTATTTTTACAAACAAGGAAATCAACCTAACTACTTGAACCGATTGCACCTTACCGGGCTAATTTTTTGTGGTACTATGGGTATGAAGGCTGACGTGTGAACTAAATAAAAGACTACTTTCGATGATAACAAGTGACTCGTTCATTTTATTTGATGCTAGATATGGGACTAAGAGGTCACATTTACAACAAGGTGCACTACTCAAAATCATGCACTTGTTATGAATGTTGTTGGACAGCAAACAGGCAAGGTCAGCAGCTGTAAAAATAAACAAGCCCCCCTCTTTCTCCATCCACCTCCCCAACACTCATACCCATCCCACCCCCAACAAAGAAAAGGATAAAAGGATAAGTAAACATAGAATAGAATTGACAATAGACATATAATGGCAGACCACCTACTTAAGTCCCCCAGAAGTATTCCAAACCTGTGAATGTCAAAAGGTTCTGACTGCAATCTACAAATTCAATTGTCATTACTTTTGAGTGTAAGATAGTAAGATATAGACAAAATAAATCCTAAACTAGGGACGGGGAAAGAATGGAAAAATCCAAAAACTTAGTGACTCACCCGCATCAAATGCAAAGCATCACGAGGTCTCAACATTGAGTTTCCTTGACCAGAAAAAGATCCAGGGTGCATATTAACAGGGCTTGGCATTGCTACCATACCAGAGGAAAGCACACTCCCTGAATTTAGCATTGTTGATGAGGAAATTCCTTGGAATGCAGGCCTTGTCATCGGCATGCTTCTATTCAAGCCACANGGGTGCATATTAACAGGGCTTGGCATTGCTACCATACCAGAGGAAAGCACACTCCCTGAATTTAGCATTGTTGACGAGGAAATTCCTTGGAATGCAGGCCTTGTCATCGGCATGCTTCTATTCAAGCCACACATAATGCCCATACCATTGCCACCAGGTAACATTCGGACACCACGATCACTTCCTGGAAGAGATCCAGGAACAGACAAACCAGACTGCTGAATGTTCTTGCCAGATGACATTTGATTATACTGTTGCATTCTTTGCTGTTCATCAATTGATAAGGAAGCACTTCTAGGAATACCATATCTACCATCCCATAGAGTACAATACCCCAGACACAATTATAAACAAAATCAATGTATGATAAGAGTAGCAAAAAGATAATATCAAGCCAAATATACAGCATATTACCTAACAGAAGAATTGACTGGGCCAGATGGTGATGAATAGTTACTGCCAAGTACCATATTGGAAGACCCTTGCACTGAGGAAGCAGGAAGGAATTGTGCTACAGTACTCTGGTTCGGAATACCTACCTCAGTAGAGTGATGGCCTTGATACACAGGAGCATGAACATCGGGGCTAGATGCAGTTGCATCACAGAGATCCAGAGGCCTTTATTGAAATAAACATTATAAAAAAATAAATAGAAGGTTGATAGCACAATTTCTTAAATGTGATAGAAGCCATTACACTCATTTTTTATAGGTAAAATCAATCAGATTCATTGAAAGCTATATCGTGAATTTATGAATGGCAATGTGTAACACAAGTAGAGGCTCAACTATGCTCAAGTGTTAAAATGCACTTAAAAATAGAAACCAAAACTTACGTCAGAATAGGACCTCCATTCAGATTATTTGGGAAAACTTGAGAAAGAGCAATTGTATGGGAACCATGAGGTTGCTGAAGTTGTTTTGGGTCCTGGTTATTATTCTTCAAAACAAAAACCGGAGTTAAGAGTTATTTCAAAGCCAGTAAAGCAACCACAAATGAAATCCATGAACTTAATGCAAACTTTTCCTTGCTCTAATCCAAAAAATTCAAAATCTCCACGACTCATGCAAGTAAAACAATAAGCAAAATGAACCAGAGTTTAGAACTTCCACATATCCCTTCAAGCAAAATATTGTAAAACCTTATAATAATGTCTATAAATGAGGCACTAGCTTGAGGGCACAATAAGGAACGCTTTGCTGAAATACAACCCCTTCAGGAAACAAAAGAGGAAACAAATAGGCTGCAGACCACTGAAATCCAAATTAATGTTTGGATCTGTGTGGATGTAACAAATTTATATTATTTTGGACAGAAATATACCTGAGTCATCCTGTGAGGGTGTTTTTGACCAATCATAATGATATTATCAAAATGAGATTTGAGGGTATCCTCTACCATAGGACCTTGCAAACGTTGGAACAATTGTCTGGCACTGCCCTGTGTACCATGCAGCACCAACAGCCAAACAAAGCAGCTAATTAAAACAACATTAGGCAGGTAAGGAAGGCAATGTGTATTTAGCAAACTGATGAAGGTTCAATTTGAAAGAAAGAACAACTTCTTAAGAAAAAAAAAACAAGGCCACAGACTAAATAGGGAAAGAATATTGCCTTCGGAATTCCGGGTAAAGTAGACGGATACGGCTGAGAAGACCCTGAATCTTCAGCACTATCAGCCCCATCACCAGCAGTCCTATCCATTAAAATCTTGTGACGCTCTTTACATTCTTTAGGCTTCCGAAATATACACTGCACGTCAAACAAGAAAATATGATTTGCATAATTAATGCCCCTAAAAACACACACATAAAATTTAATGTACTTTCCAACAAAAGCTTAGAGTAAATAAAACAACAAACCAGCGCAGGATATAAGTTCACCTTGAATTGCAAAGAACTGTTGACAGCATCACTTACAAACTCCCAATTTGGACCCATATCATGTACCAAGACAACAAGTGCCTAATCAAAACCAATACTTTTTATTCATACAGCATATCTCTAACAAGAAGAAAGCTTTACACTCAGGAATGGAAAAAGTGAAAACAAACCTGATCTTCGAATAGCGACCATGGACTTCCTAAACCAGTCTGTCCAGCTGACATCTGAAAAAAAGTTTAAATGCTCAAATTCGTCAATAAACTGCCTTCAAATAGGAGAGCAGCAACAATGAGAACAGGCTGAAAGCACAAGGTTGACTAGGTGATCTCCATTAAGTACCTTCAGCCCCTTCGCTTTCCTACTCCGATCCCGTCCGCCAAGCATTTTGATGAACTTATTTGGGTTGGACATATTACTCATTTGAGAAGCCGCCGGAGATGGAATTGACCCAACCATTGGAGTTAGATTATCAAAAGAATTATCCAGCGATTGCTTCATCATTTTCGGCTTTTTCATAATGTGTTGAACAAATAAACCTTCAAAGAAGAATAGAAATACAAACCGAACAAAGAACATGAATAATTCAGCATGTTTATTTACATAATCATTGTAGAATATGAGATAAAAAGTGATCATTACCACTGCTTCCATTAGATTCAAGATGATGACTCTCTGGCCTCTTTTTTGAATAATCCCTCTGCAGTATAGGACACATGAAAAATTTAAGTAGTAGCATGGATAATATTACATACTTAGCGAGTACTCTATAACATATTATGTAGCATATGCTGACCTCTCAGAACACGTAACATTGATTAAACAAAATATTTGACATGATTATTTATTAGTCTACTTATATTCCCTTAGGACATAAGAGTGTGCTTCTCTGGGATAAGTGGATGGTTTTCTTTACTGTTTGTTTATTTTGGGGGTGATTTTTCTTTTTTTTTGTGTGTGGGTGAGTGGGTGGGTGGCTTTTTTTTTTTTGGGGGGGGGGGGGGGGAAGT